TAAAAGGATTAGACATGTTTTATTTTTAAGTAATGGTGAAGTATTTTGTCAGCAGCCCAGTAGTTTAACATTCCTTTGCTGTGTTCTAGGTATGCATGGACAATTGCCGAATGTCGGTATTGCCAGAAGCATATGGGTTGGAAATTTACAGCCACGCAGAAGCTTATGAAACCCCAGAAATTTTGGGGGATATGCCGAAGATCGATCGTGACAAAACTTTTAACAGAAGAGGATTTGAAACCAATAATCTGAGGCAGAGATACTGTATTTGCTGAATATGTTCAGGTACATGTACTTTTTTGTATTTACATACTGAGTTGTGTACTTCTGTTTCCTGTATGTTACTTTCTAGAACAAATTTCATTTTGTTTTTTGTAATTTTCATAATTTGTTTATGGTATAAGTTGCTCGTTCTTGGTCTACTTAATTTTTCTGTTCTTACCCGTGTACCACATGTCATCTGCTGTAAAACAAAAATGTCTACTTTTTTTTTTATTTTAAACAGCTTATCTAATTGGGTAAAGTTGTAGGCTCTTGTATGCATTGTATTGACCTTTTGTGTCCTGTAAAAGACGGGCAATGCCAAGACCAGCTGGGAAATTATATTTGAAGAAGACTTCTATTAATACACAGGCAAAGATAAATGTTTTCATTTGATAGGCCAGTTTGACTCTTGGGGAAAGGCCTTTCTCTGAGGACTTAAAATTTCTCTTGCCAGTTATCCTGATACTGTCCTTGCCCCTGATTTTTAATATGGTGCTGTCAGTTGACATCACGCAACCTTAGTTTCCTGGTGTGGTTCTTGATCTTGATCTACTCGGTATTGTGCATGTATGTAGCTTGAGTTTAATGTAGTAACTGTAGTAGATATTCCTGCTTTTGTATTTTGAAAGTTGGCAGACATACAGACAAATGGATTTTGAAGGAAAATAAACTCTGCATTAATGTGCCCTCCTATTTGTGTTTTTTATTACAGTAAAATACTGCTGAGGGGGTCCATATTGACTGCAAAATTAAATGTTGGTTCTGAGGACCCTTGTGTAAGACTGTGACTTGTATATAACTATTCACACGACATGTAATAAATAAAATGTACATGCTGTAACTGTTAATGTAACTGTTTAATTTAGGAATTAAAATGTAATTCTTTTCAACATCATTTTAATGTTTTTATGTTTGATTACAGTTGTTTACATTCCTAGTTGTCTTCTGAAAGTACTTTTTTTGTATGAAGCCAAGGCAGCAGTAAAGGCTAAAGTACATACATACTTCGGCAATCGCGACAGCTCATGGTGGTTGCTAGTGTTGATGGTAGGGAGACCTATTTATTTTTAGCAGGCTCTTCTCTGTGATTGACACAAAGTCTACTCTTTCGTCATTGTGTCAACAAGATGGTTGTGGATAGCCCAGTTTTTGCCAAAGGGGCAACAGGACATAATTTGAATATTGTAGGGTCACAAGAGTTAATTATAGAACTCGAGAATAGGCAGGAACTGAGCCACTCATTCAGTCTGTCTTCCAAAAATGAGGGCAGAGGAGATTGATGGAATTCTGAAATTCGATTTCTTATTGATGAATAGGGTCAATGTTGACTTTCAAAAGTTAACCACGCCCGGAAGAATGAAACTGATGGGGAAGTCCGTTCATCGCTAAAAGATAGGCGATAACGTGGAAGAATGAAACTGACGGGGAAGTCGGTTCATCGCTAAAAGATAGGCGATAACGAAATTGGCCTGGTCAATCACAAAGATTCATTTTGACAATGTAACAGAACAGGCTTTAAAACCTGCCCTTACAAGGCAAAAGGATAAGGAATGCGTACCATAGACAACAGTTCTCGGGTTGCGAGCGCTGCCTGTGGAGTGTAATTGTAATCGTGTGCGTCTGTAGTTGCACGAACGCATCTGTGATCGGCTTGGGTGGTCAAGTCGTACATTGCACTTGAGCCAAAGAGGCCGATTTTGTGATTAAAGCGTAACAAATTATTTATTGTTTTGAGGATTTTGTGCAACTTCATATTTTGCTAAGTAACATATTTGTTTTACTGGTATTGTAATTAGAACTTAGTTTAATATTTACAGTTTATTATGTATCTGAAATGAATGAAGGAATGTGGCATAGTATATCCACAACCTTTGCAATTTCATGAATGGTGAGGACTTTCTACAGCATACGAGTAAAAGTGAGTGATTCGTTGGGTTATATCAGGTACAACGTGCGTGAATGTAATTTTAAAATACTAATTTATATCAGGGGTGTTTCTTTTCGCTTCACAATCTTGTGCAGTCGAACAGAACATAACCCCATTAAGAGGAAGAAGTCTCGTATAGACTTGAACCACTTAACCTGAATTAAATGTAACTAAGATTTCCATCTTTTCACCCAGCAATATTATTAAGTAATTCCATGCAGTAAATTCCCTCGGGAGAAGTTGATAGTCCCGTTGTAAAGAAAGTATTGTTTGTAGAACCCAAAAGTCTATGAGCAAGTTCACAAGAGACCTGCACTGTATCTTGTCTAGAGCTAGAGAAATGTTCGGTGCAACCTGTTTGCTGCAGATCCATCTTAATATTATCCCATCTGTGCCTGGGTCTCTTGGTTCTCCAATTTTTACTAACCTTTAGGTGCTATAAATTTTAATAACACTCCAATTTTTGTTTTTGTATGGTGAGGGATTGTCAGCCCTGCCCAACATTTAAGCTGATGAACGAAAACCTTTCCTGTTGCCTCAGACAGATTCACACCCACCCTCCATATGTGACGGCTGTTTCCTTCCACAACCTCTGGGATATAATGGGCTACTTTGTCAAAGGGGACAGTGGCTAATAGCATTTCAGTTAGTTGGAAAACATGGACGTGGACAGAAATTTTTTACCTGTTGGATCTAAGAGCACGGAATATTTATATTATTCCAGTACTTGGTGGTTGATATGTCTGTAGTTCACAATTTGATGGATATGAGTTGATGGAGAAGACTGGGCCTGTTGTGCCCAAGAGTAATGAGAGCATTTCTTGCCAGCAGTCATATGATAACGCTGTCATGCCTGTAAAATGTGTCGTAAAGTATAGGTTTGGCTCCACACATTCTTAGTCTTGCCACTAAAAGGAGGTGAGTGCTTAGCTTAATGTTGATTTGATTCTTTATTCTCCTGGGAAAAAAAAACCTCCAGTTGCTGTTGAATAGGAGACCACGTGGGCTCCAGAGCCAGTCTGGACACAATGACAGTGAATATGAAAATTCCTGCTTCCAGCAGTAATTGGAACAACAGTCGTCCAGTCTGTTTGGCTGTGACACTACAAGCTGACTGTTGTTGTTGTTGATAAGTATTAATTTTTCTTTTCTTAATTTTTTCAGAATTTTACAATTTGGATCATCCCCAGTTGTGATCTGTTGTTTGGTGAAACGATTTTGTTTTCGTAGAAGTTTGTACTTGATACAGAATACAGTAATGAAATAACAGTCAGCCATCTCGGATATCGTTGTTATGCTGAATTACTGGTAAGTAAATGCAATTCTCATGTCATTCTAAATTAACTTCTACGTTTATTTTGTTGAATTCGCATCAGATTCAAAAAATAATGAGGACTGTGTGTGTGGGCCTTTATAGAATGAGTGTTCGAAGTAACAAAGTAACATTGCAAGCTGACAAGAGATACCTTACGCTTCTTTTGTAGAATGTTTACTAGTAATGCCTTTATGTGGACATTATTCAAATTCATGTAGATGAGATCTGTCGTTAACAATTTGGCAGACCTAGTTTCAGATTGTGAAAACTCTTACATACGAGTGCCTGCTCATTTCTTTATAAGATTTGTGGGAACTGTTGGTAAGCACGGTTCGCTACTTGTTATAATCCAGAATGCGACATAACTTAACCGACTCCGCGGAGCAGTTTTTGGAGAAAATGAGAGTCGCTCGGCAGAATTTCTTGAGGGAATTACAAAGCCTGCCGCCGAACACTGTACTGAGCTCGATGTATCCGTTTCACATCCTTACGCCCCATTTCCTTAAGATCCTTCCGTATAAACACCCAGATTTCCCAAGTCGTCTCTTCACTTCAGGTTTTCCAGCTGAATTTTGGTATCCATTGCTCATCTGTTTCATGGATGCTACGCGTTCTCCCATCTCATCCTCGGTTGGATCAGTAATAATATTTAATAAGCAGTACAGAACATGATTTTCAGCTTTTATGAATGTGGTAATGCACCTTTAGGTTCTTGAAAAGGCAGGAGTTTCTAGATTAGCTGAGCGACTATCACCTTCTCCAGATGCACTGCCATGGAGTTAGTCTGTTAAGAAACGGTGATTCAAATATTTAATCACACTTTGTCTTATTTCTTTCCTGCAGTGGAAATAATTGTGGCAAGAACTGAGATTCATGTGATTGTTGTTGTTTTGTTATTATCATCAGAATTGTTATTTTCAGGGTTTATGTTTCATGAAAACCATGGAAGTGAATGTCCAACAACCGCAAAAGAAGAAGCAGAAGTTAAAGGATGCGCCGGTTACGGTGTATAGAATAATAGAAGTTCCTCCTCACATAGAAGGTGTTACAAAAACAGCCACAATCCAACTCATCCCAAAATGTGAATTCGATGATGAAACTTTGGATCTGGGTAGTTCCGACGATCCGGATAAAGTTAATGTCACGGTTACAACGTCGTTTGTGATCGACGAAGATAACGTGGTGAAGCAACATTCCACTTCTCAAGTAATTCGTCTCCCAGTTGCCATCCAACGTGGCCAGCAGCATAATGTATTGAATGAAGCTTTTGAGGCAGATGGCAGCAGCGGCAGCAACGACCTGTTAGATCGGAACTTTCCGTGCGCGATATGTTTGAAAACCTTCAAACACAGTAGTCATTTAAAACGACATATCAACACTCATACGGGGGAGCGCATTTATAAGTGTGATTTATGCGACAAAACATTCCTCGATGCCTCAACCCTCTCCCGCCATCGGAAGATTCATTCTGGCGACAAACCTTGGTCTTGTAAGATCTGCAAGAAGAGTTTTGGCACCCTCGGCTCTCTGCGTCGTCATATAACTGTTCATAATCAAGAAGGAAGACCTTACCAGTGCGAAACGTGTAAGAAGCGTTTTCCAGACAATAGCAGTTACCAGAAACATAAATTTATTCACACTGGAATAAAACCGTACGGTTGTGACATTTGTGGCAAGGCTTTTGTTCACATCGGAGATCTGAATGGTCATCGCAAGATTCACGTCGAAGTGAAGCCTTTTAATTGCGAACGGTGCGGGAAAGACTTTGCGAAACACAGTAACTACGCTCGACATCTGCTTATTCACGAGGGAGACAAGGAATTCTTGTGTACGATCTGCGGCGTAAGTTACAATTTTCAGAGTTCTCTCACTCGTCATCTGCTCACTCACGTCCGGAGGGGCAACAAAGCTTCCGCAGAGGCCGATTCCATCGACGATGAAGACGCAGATTCGGTTTCTCAGGGCGAAAAATCTTCTGTAGAAGCAGACGAACTTGCCGTAGAAACACCGAAGAAGAAAGGCGTTTCAAGTGTTGGTCAGATCAAGGTGACTAGAACCAAAATGAAGCAGCTGAAGAAAATCAAACAATTACACAGGCTTCATGACCGGACCCAGAATGAGAGACCTGATAAATTGCCACCGTCACCAGTGGCAAATGAGCCGCGACCTCGGAAGGCTCCTGGTTCAGTACCCGCAGCCCCAGTTACCAGAAACCTAACAGTTACAAACTTGACTGATCCTACAGTTCTGCCACCTCAGGACGAGTTTATTTCCAAACAAACCACAACTGAAGATGTCACGACATTGCTCACTTCAGTCGAGGACTTCGGTTCTACGAAGGACATTCCGCAGGCCCTGTTGCAACTGACGCCCAAGTCAGTTTGTGGCACGTCGGCAGAATCACTTATATCCCTGTTGTCAGACTCGAATGAAGGTGAATATCTGTTGGCCACGACTGACTGCGGCGAAATAGTGTCGGAAGTTCAGACGTCGGGGAATAATGGCTCTGAATCTGAGTCTGTCATTACCATAATATCTATATCAGATGATCCCGTAATGAGCGTCGACAGTATAGCGCAAGACGCTTCTGTGGGCGACGGCGCAGACGTCGCAGTGGCCATGTTGGAATCCGCCGAAGTAGGCGACGTGATTGCTGAGACTGTGATTTCAGACGTTTGCCGCGAGAGTCCCAATAGCAGAGCCGATGACAGGAAAGCGGCTTCAAATAGGGGGAGGTCGAAACACGTGTTGGTTAAAGTGTCGGATCTTAAAGGAGAAGAGACGTTGGTCTTAAGGAGAAGGGCGAGTTTGATGGTGTCAAAAGGCGAAGAGAGGGAGCCACTTGGGCCCAAACAGGGCTTATAAGCAGATGTGACATCTGTATCTAACGAGTTATCGTGAATTGAGACGTTAGAAGCTCCCGTTCTCTAATCTTAAAACATGACTTAAGTGAGGAAAGATGAATTTTTGCTTTTTAATTTCAGTTACAAAAAATTAGTATACGGATGACAACGCTAATGCGCTAAAACAAATTCTTGGTCCATTCACATATCCGCATGTTGGCGTCATTGATGGTTTGAGCATAAAAGGAGGAGTCTGTTACTGAACAGGTTTTACTATGTAATTGTGGTAATATTCGTCGTAGATGGTCGCATTCGCAGGTCGTGCTGATATTGTTTGTAGTCTTAGTGCAGAATAAGATTATCTTCCACGCCCACTTGTTCATCTTATTTCTTACAATTTATATATTAATGTATTATGAGATTCGGTGATCGCCTTTTGTCGCCTGCTCAAAGCTGAAGTAAGGGACGGGTTCCGGTGCCATCGGTGGTCACCCCAGTTCGGTGTCGTCAGAAATAACATACGCAGAACAAATTAAATTCCTGGTAAGAACAACAACAAATATATAAAAAATTAGACAACGCAAGTAACCTCTTAATTCAGCGTATTTACGGCCATAAAGGGAAAAGAGTTTGTTGTTGGCCACTTAAACAAATTTCCATGTTTGCGATAAAATAAAATCAGTTTGTTATTGGCCACTTAAGCGAATTTCCATGTTTGCGATAAAATAAAATATGTAGATTTTATTGAAATTATTTCCCTGTTTACAAAAGGTATCGATTAATCTTAAATATTTCCCTGAACTGAGGTCTACGCAAATTTTCAGCTGTTGGACCTGCCACCAGCGAGAGGCGAAGTGTCGTTAGTTTCGATGCTCGTGTCAAGATTGTTGTGTTCCGAGTATGTACAATAAATTCATATCGCTGTCATAATTTTATTCAACCTGCGCTCCTGAATGTTTTCATCTTTGCAGCAGATTAGACAGAGAAATGTGTACCATCTTTTAAAAGTGAATGTGTTTGGTGCGCATGATTCACTGTACAAATACTGATAATGGCGGCAAAGCTTGTATCCATGTTTGATTCTTATCTTGCAAAAAATGTCACCTAATTACATCCACAAATTGTGTACCAGACAAATTCCTTCAGGATTGTTCAGCCGATAAACGTTTTCTGCTGTCTGCCTTTCTGAAAGTACCCACCACATATAAAACTGTGAAGAGATCTTCATTTTCAGTAGAAAGAAAATCCTTTATTCTTTTGAATTTCTTGGTTAGGTTAGGTTGATGCAACATTACGTCATCGTTACTGGAAAACCGGGAATCCTTTTTTAAAAGTACTCTGCTTTATAGAAACTTAAGAAAAAGTTCTGCCATACTCTGAACTCTTACCTTAATCGAGCAATTTTTAACTCTCAAAGGTTGCCCCTTTTTTTATATTTCTCCGTTTATAGCCTTTGCAACTTAAACCCAAATGATTACAATTCCAAGATGGCTGTAATCAGATCGCTCTTGATTACGTCGAAACACAAAGCAAAGCAGGACAGTGTGTACTTAAACTCTCTCGAGACACTTCACACTTTGCACCCTCATATTTTATCACGTAAAACTTGTTTTATCTGAATATTCATGATTAGACATAAAACTTCAGTCATAGACATGATTTCTCATCACGTGTGTCTAGCTGGATATTGTAGGGTCCGGTGAACTGCGGACCACATATTGCCGATCGTAGACAGGCACGTTGGTGCCGTTTTAACAGGTGTCCACCGGTTGTCCTTAGGATTGTTATGGTGCACTGAACACGCAAGGAAAAAATATGAGCTTTTTGCGTACGTAGATAATAACTAAATTATGGTCGTCATACTTCGAGAGTGGGGAGGGGGCCTTCGGATCTTGGTTTAGATATTTCTGTCCATACAGTGGCTTTTAATAAAAATGCACGCAGGCTAACGAGTAGCATTTATCTTATCAGAAAGAACAATTGTTCCATAAACAAACGTCTCCAAGCGGCGTGACTATACAAGTCTCAAAAGGATCCACCCATTTAGTCTGTGAATAAATTTATCAGGTATTAGATATCAGAAGTTATCCGTCATTGAACGTCTAGGTCGAGTTGTTAAAATTCATGATTTGTGTGCAGAATGTCTTGAGTTGAATTCTTGAAACACATGTTTTTAGCACGGGGAAATGCTGTGACGATGCCTTAAGATTCGTTTGCATCCATATCTCTGAAATTCATCAGTTACACGGATTCCAAGGGACAGACTTATTTATAACCTGTCTAGCTGATAATTCTTTAAGCAAACAAAAATACAAGAGATCTTTAAGTATAATCTGATGTATAAAATTGTTTTTTTTCTAATATCTGTGTTGATGAATCTCCAATGTTTACAAATAAGTTCCATCCTCACGACATTCTGCAGACCCAGAAACCAACCACCCCGAAAGTCCGACCTTCAAGTGTCCCAGCGCCACTGTAGCAGTCAGTGACAACAGCGCCACCAGACCGACTCAGTTCCATAAGTTACCTTTATTAACCTGACAGTAATTTAAATTCAAGCCATATCTCGTATTGTACTGTAACAAAGCGTCTGATTAACCCTGTGGGTCTGCTTATTGTTTACAGAACATTATATGAACTACGTATTTGGTTCACAGTTTCTCATTTTGCTTTTTTCTTAAGTCAGACATAAACACGATTTGCGCAAAGAACGTAACTTCCATAGTCAGGTCTAGGGAGAGAAAAAACAGGTTTGGCTGCGTCATTATCATCTCCGTCTTTCGCCTTGTCCGCCGGTCTGACTCACCAGCTCCTAGCACCACGACACTCAGTAAAGCAACTGGTAGCGGGCAGTCAAGACGTGAAACGAAAGGCTTCTGTCATATTGTTGCAGATCTCAAGATGGAATCCTTTGTGTGGATTATTGTGTCAGCGCTGAGTATCTTCCATGTCGCATTGGTAAGAGTTTATTTATTCATTGTGCTCCAAAGTCGCTGGGTTTGCCTTTAGGGTTTCGAGATGACAATTACAGCACCTTTCCAAGTTATCCAGACCGAATAATGGAAAAGTACTCCGTGCTTTCAAAAATGTTCACGATATTTTAGCAAGATACTAAGACGCAGTCAAATATTTAACAATGTGAAACGATGTAATTTTGAAGATATCAGACGCTGTGGGATGACGACAATGTACTTAGCCCGTAGAGTTCTGTGGGGACATTTGTTACGGGTTTTAAGTATAACATAATTTGAGCCTTAGTAATCATGGATTACTCAGACATTCAGATAGGAACATTCACATTTTTCAGGCACCGGTGGGTAGAATTTAGCATGGTACCGGTCACGACTTCAACATGGCGGCTTTTCGGGGTTTGTGACTCGGAGAGTTGACACGTTGAAGTCTCGTTTAGATTCGAAACAGTCACTTTGTATAATTTTGTGACATACCAGTAGCATTTTTAAACAAAAAAAGCTATTTAAAAATGTGAAAGTCTTTATCTGTTGTAGGCGGAAAGCAATTGCTTTGTCGAGTGTCAACCCTGAACATAAATGCATTGTTTTTGTTTCACGTAGTCCGTGTACAAAGTAAACTCATAATGGGGAGTTAATACGCGCACAATTCCAGAAAATAATCGATTTATGTACGTCATTAAGGCCCACAACTTTTCGCGAAATATAATTAAAAGTATTTCGAGGATGAATAGTGGTTTCAGTTGATTTGTACGTCTGTACCGTGCAATAAATGCAAGCCAAGTTCGGTTCAAAATGTCGAATACCACATAACCTGTTTATAAAATGGATTGCATGTCGCCAGCCTACTCTGGACTGGAGCTGGTCTGCCCCATTTTACTGCTGTGTTTTTATTAGTGAAACTCTTCTATATTCTATAAGTACTTGGTCTAATTTCCCAGTGCATTCCGATATGTACGGTTCTGGGGGCCAAACTATGAGTTTTAAATACGTGAAAGAAGTTGTAATCTTCCCCGGAGCATTCCAAGGCAAAAAGCGTTGCACTTTCTTGTAGAGACGAAGCCGACGATGTTTCAGATACACGTTCAAACGGAAGCCCGAATCTTTTCTCTTATTAAAACAAAATTCAAGGTGCTACTCCAAAAATAGTTTCCGGAAGGCAGTGGGGTGGAAAGATATAAGATATTTCGCATCGCATTCTAGCTTCAATAACAATACAGTTTATTCTAAAATGAGAATGTGGGATTGTGACGCTTTCTCCACTGCGAGAAATAATAATGGAAATGTACTAGTTCACGATGAAATCATAATTCAGGTCAGTCTGGAAACACCAAAAGTAACGTTAAAATAAACACCAGTAGGAAGCAATTCTTAGTAAACAATACGCGGACAAAATAAAGATTAGTTGTAAGTAGGTTACGAGGTATCAGCGAAAAATTTTGAAAACGTAAAACATTTCTGCAGATAACAGGATAATGATAACAGCAAAACGAGTAAAATACTTGAGGCATAGAAAATGACCAGCAGTGCATTTAATAGCAAACGTTTTCAAAAGCGAGAAAGTTTGACGAGGGTTGTAGATGGACATCGCAGAGACGCCTTGTCATTCAGGTGTTGCCACGTCTTTTGAACAGGGGAAAGGATTAGGGGGGCTACGAAGACTTCTCGACTGCTCGTGTTATTTCCAGGGCTTTTAATTTTCATCGAATAACTTCGATTAATATCGTTTATAAATGTGCTATACAGATCGCTGAAATTTTTTGTGTTAATAATTCTTAAAGCAGGTCTTTGAATGTCTCAGACATTCCTTTGTAGTCCACGGAGCTGTTTCTTCTGCGATGGAAAAATATGAGGACAGAGTGAAGAATATATTTTAGGTTTTCACGTCGGTGAGCATTTATTTAGTGATCTTCAGGGTTAACAGGATTACCAACGTTTACAGAATGAATACGACCAGCATTAACGAAATTCCGAACGCACTGAATTTTGTAATGTGCTATTAAGTCTTAACGTCACTTTAGACAAGGTCAATACAATTATGCATGATGAAATGACTTTAAAAAAATATGCACCTTTGTCTTTTTCTTTCATGTATTTCTTGTATAATGAAACATTGTTGCGTGTTCTTTAAAACGTGTCTTAGTTTCCCACACTTCATTTTTAAACTGGGTCTCCCAAGAACTTGTAATTTTATTATTTTGTGGTCGTAAACTGAACATGTTCGGAAAACACGCTATCTGTTCGGAATCACTGTCAGTATTACTATATAATAACTTTGCGTTGTCTTGTATGATGGAAGAAAGTTGCATGTTTCTCGAATTTCTGTTATTCCTCCCAAACCTCATTTTAAAACCGAGAGTTCAACAATAGACTGGGCTCATCTTTATTATATAGCACGTTCATAAACTGAACATTTTCGGACAACACGCTTATCTTTTGGAAATACCCGTCAGTATTATCACATGATAACAGTTCGTTGCTTAGGAACCTTTGTTTAATCCTACTTAAGCCGTCAATACTTGGTAACATTTTAATTAATAGGGAGTTACTATATAAAATACAACAATAGTAATAATAATACACATAATTAACGTCTTAAAATGTGTTAAACAATTTTAGAATTGTACTAAGAGAAGACGTAAGAAGAAACTACGTAGCATCCTGATGTATTTTAATTCTGTGAAGTTTTGCTTTGCTGACTGAAATGGCTGCCAACCCCTGGGGAGTTGATAAACGTGAGTGTACGGGTGTCCGATAACGTTGGTAATTCAATGGTGTTGTAGCCCAGACTCAAGACCCACATAGACACATTTACGTAACGCAGTAAATATTTGGTCGGTTCAAAATAGCCTTTGAAAGCGACTTAAAAAAGAACTGTCTTGAAAGGTAACTTACCTGCTTTGTTCTAACTACGTTTCAGGAAAAAGCTTCCGTGAATGTTTTCCAATTCGTTCCACATGCAAGCTTTCTCCGCGCGAGTAAAAGCTGTGGACACAATGCAACTTTCTTCACACTAAATTCAAGTCTTCAATTAACACGGGCGGACACCTAACCTAACCTAACATCCTGAAAATGGACATTGCCCTGATTGTTGGAAATCTGTGTCTAGTCCAAATACTAAATCACGTAAACAAATTCCAGCAAACAATTAAATGAAAGTATATATATTAAGTATATATTAAATCTTGTCCGTCTAATCACAATAAATTCTTATTAAATATTAAAATATTACAATAATTAACATTTTAAAATATTTAAAATATTAAATGATGTTCTTTATCGAAATATTCGATTTACATTAGACCATCATTTTTCATGTTTCAGTTCCTAAAAGAACCATCCTCAGGTGTATATAAAGCTTCAAAACGATAAATAATTCAAATACAATTTTTCATACATTATGCTAGCGTGCATTTTTATTAGATTTTTACCAGATATAAAACGATGTTGTTTTTCAGATTTTTATTCCATTTTTAATAACACACCATCTTATGAAAGTATATGGTAAATAAATGTGAGATTTGAATCAGGTGACCATCATCCATTAACTTATCAATTAAGTAAGTCCTTGTCGAACTTGTAGAGTCTCAAATTAAACTAATAAGAGCTAATATGAGATAAATGGAAGTTAGACGTACAATGTAAACAAAATTGTCTCAGTGTCCAATAGAAAAGCACAAAATAGCGAAGTACGTAGACTCGCATATAGAATTGTAAATTTTACAGTTCGTGACGACGACGTTCTGGGTTGTGACGTCATGACTCGTGACGGTGCCATAACTCACAAGAATAACGTAATCAAGACTCGTCATACTCATTGCTGGGACAACCTAATATCTCTCATTTGACAGTTTTTCTGTAAGCAGTAATATTAACTGACATTGCATGTCCGTTTTACGTAATCCTACACAGGTTTTGCTTACAAATTCCCCGTGTCATGGGGGAAGCACAGCCTTGGAAGAATTCTGTGATAATAAAGCCTAGTAAACAAACATGATAGCAGTAAAGAACGTGGGTGGAGTACGTACGAACACGAAGTAAGTTTAAAATTTCAATTCTCGTAGCAAATTCTGTAACTGGACAGGAGCGACTTCAAACGAGAGTCCCAGGATACTTTTCTGGGTCGTCTGCCCCCCCCCCCAAAAGCGCACATGTTTAACGCTGCAGGAAACAGCTAGTGATTTACCAAATCGAAAGGGAAATTCCATTACATCGTTGAAAAAGCGAAATACAAAATGTTCCAGTGAACATTTCGACGTTTGAGAGGAAGGTCGAAACCTTAAGGGAAGACTACTCTTGAAAGACCAAAGCATAGATGACAAGGCAACATTAGAGTCAATTCTAAGTAAATAGGTTGGGGAAGTTTACTTGTTTCATCGGGAAATGAATCAGGACAAGATGACTTCCATTTGAAATCCCAGCATTTGACATATTAATTCATCGCGCAGGTGTAAGGACCACGTGCAGCTGTTGTGAGGTAAAAAACATGTTTTTGTTGCAAAAGAGAAGGTTCAGGCTAAAGGAAGCACGGATGAGTTTCTGTATATACGAGAGCAAAGGACAGGAAGTACTCCACTTGAACGAGACAAATGAAAAAAGTTGGACACAGGTCGAAGTTGGATTCTGAGCAGAAGCCAAGGTTTCCCAAGATGGCTTGTCTTCCGGGTTGTAGAAGTTTATCGACGTTTCAGAGGTCCTTGTTGCCGCCATCATCAGGGCGATGATCGGACATTTGAAACGTTGTAAACTTCTACAACCCGGAAGACAAGCCATCTTGGGACTTACCGCCAAGAAAACCTTTAAATCTTACTAAATATCTTGACTATGGGAAAAACAAAGATCTGTCTTAGGAAAGGGAGAGTATCTTTATAGGAACTGGGAAGAAAATTTATTTAGGCAATAAGTCCGGTGTAGAAAATGAAATATTAAGTTGTGCCCCGACACATTCTTTCTGCGAGGATTTTGGAGGGCGCGTGTTTTTGTCGTGTGCAACACAAATTTGAAATTGCAGTTAGTAGAAATTTAAACCCTTAAGAAAACAGAAGAGTAATGAAATATAACAGAGCTTCAGAAGCAGGTTTGATAATTCAACGCGAGTGAAGTGTGTTCAGGTGTCTTCTACAGCGACATATTGCAGTAAGAAATTCCCATTTACCGTGAAATTACTATTGCTACACCTCGCTAGGACTCTTTAAGACAACTTCCCTGAGGGCAAGAACTTCTACGAACTACTGGTCTGACAAGGAAAACCATTAAACCACATCCAAGTTCCCACGAACTTAACCTTATTAATTCGCCACTCATGAACAGCATTAGGTGCGGCAAAGTTGGCAAATCTTTTGAAACCCAAGGCTGCCATCTTTTGAATTCAAATGATAAAAAGAATTTCGTTCAGCAACCATCGGCCCCAGAATCCAATTACGCCAGAAGGAAATTACCACCCAACAGCTTGTGTTAACCTTCCACTCACACTCGTTGCGTATCAGCTGATTGATCTACGTGGGTTTGGGTTCAGTTAGCACCACCAAGCGCGGAAGACATTCTCTAGAACTCCATCACTAAGTTGGTAATGGTGAAGCCTCATCACACCTCGCATTGTCAACTTAATTATTTTTACTGCTACTCAGTTATTTTTTTTTGGGGGGGGGGCCTTTAACATGCCTTTGTTGCGTCTAGATCATGGATCAGCGCTCAAGAGCATTAGCCTGACTGCAAATACTTTAGGGCTTTAATGTCAGATACTTGGCGACCTCTGCAGAATTCAACGCTGTTAAATCATGCTTTTTGATAGGACGATTAAAGTGAATTTGAGCTACGATGTTCACAGAAGGCACGCGGAAGGGAGTCACAGTAACAAACCAGAAAATTCTTCGCCAAAACAGCCAAAATACTAAGTAACACTTCGAAAAACGAACGTCTTCTCTCCTACTGTCGTGGACCACAGCAGAACCGATGAGAAAAATTCATCTTTAGTCACCTCCAGCCATTTAGTTGAGGATCTGAGGTAGTCTGGTAGAATATTACCGACGTTTCAGAGGTCCCTGCTTCCTCCATCATCAGGGCGAAGACAAGACATCTTCAGTTTGGTGTTGTCTGTTCTGGTTCGGCGTAAAAACCAAATTTTATTAGTACATAACAGATGTTCGTGTAATCTGAAGGAAAGCTGTGTCCTGGGGGGGGGGGGGGGG